ACGGTTTAAAAAATTAGAAACCATAAGCCAAACCGTTCATTACGGTTAGAAAAATTAGAAAACATAAGCCAAACCATTGACTGATTTGGCCGGTTTCACGGTTTCGAACCGTATCGCGAACACCCCTATGGCCCTGGGTGGTTAGGAGTGTTGTAAGACTACGATGGGATCATAGCATTCACCCGTCCTAGATAGACAATCGTTGGAGGTGGTCATGAGCACCAAGAGGGAATCAGTTTGTGTCGTGGGCATGCCGGTCATGATTTTCAAGGAGTATTTTTCTATTATGGGTTGAGGACCATTAGGGTCCGAGGCGGATACGGGCCTGTGTAGCTCTAGATGGGTGGGACCCGTAGGGGAGGCTGCTCTATGGTATAGTTGGGTGGGATCCTTGGGTGAGGTCCGTATGATTATAGCAATTCAGGTAGGAGTTGGTGGAGACCGTTGGGTCAAGGTTTTGGATCTTGATTCGCATGATTAAGTGGGTGGTCAGTGTGTGACCATAGGGGTTTATAGGTTGGGTAGCCTTGTTATTTGGACTCTTGGGAACCTGGTGCGAGACTGGTGGTCTCAGCAATGGTTGGGAACCTTTATATCTCGGTCTAGTAAGGGGTTGTCATGAAATTAAGGTTTAGGTGAGATGCAAGCGCATATCTGTGGATCTCGGTGTAACGACCCAAATTTCACGTCCAAAAATTTCGTTTTTATATCAATACTTTAAAAAACATTTGTAAATAAAACATTGTTTGATCAAGTCGTTTCATAACATACATCGTGTCTGAAACCAAAATATAAAAACAACCAAATATCATAATACATATCCCAGAGCAAGTTCATAAAGCGGAAAGCAGTGTGTGTGTGTGTGTATGATGTGCCGCTACCACGCCAGCTCCTTCCCCTTCGATGAAGAGGTACCTGAAACCAAAACTGAAAATTGTAAGCACGAACCTTAGTGAGTTCCCCCATCGTACCACATATCATACAATCACACAACATACATATATTGTCAGGCATATCAGGGTGCTCGGCCTACCCCTTCGGTCCTCTCGACCGGATACTGGCTAACATATCTGGGTGTTGGCCTCCCCTTCGGTCATGTCGACCGGATATTGACTAGCATATCTGGGTGCTGGTCTCCCCTTCGGTCCTCTCGACCGGATACTGGGGACTATTTCACCCCTACTACTACCACATAACACATATCACATAATCTATCTAGCATGGCTAGGCATGACTACCCCTTCGGCCCTATCGACCGGTACTCTGGGACTATCTCCCCTACTATCACTAGCACATAGCATCATATCATACTAGCACATAAACATATCGGTAGTAGCAAAACTAGATGAATATCACATAGACAATCATCTAATCATACAACTCCTACTGATGGGCTGTCATTGTGGTTGTAGACCCACTGCTACTGGAAGGTAACTCACCTCGAAGTAGCTGTTGATTTACGCGGGAACTAACTATCTGCTATTGCTGCTCCGGAAATCCTCCGGTTGTAATTCCCATAAAACACTCAATCAAACACTGCTAACTGTCCTTGGGGTAAAATGACCACCTTACCCCCTACCAAGTCAAAGTCAAAGTCAACTACCAGTTGACCTGACTCGCCGAGTTGGCTCGCCAACTCACAGAGTCCCTATCCTTCCATTTGTCCTTATACCCATCTCTACTCATCGAGTTAGGTGATGACTCGATGAGTTTTCCTTCCAAATGAACATCGACTGAATCTTCATCCGACTCGCCGAGTTGTATGAACAACTCATCGAGTTCATCTTCAACTGATAAACAGGTTCTGTCCTTGACTCGCCGAGTTGTATGAACAACTCGTCGAGTTCATCTTCATCCATATGAAGATTGCCTTGGAATCGCTGAGTCTGCTCATGCACTCGTCGAGTCCCATGAATGTCCCGAACAATGGCTTATTCCAGAATATTGTGTCACTCCCCGGGACTCCCTAAAACCTCTCCACTCTCAACTGGGTCCTTTTGACCCTCAATTGATTTGGGACTCAATCTTGTACTCGCCGAGTCCAAGGATAGACTCACCGAGTCTGTCGCATATTCTCATTAGATCTTCGATTTCTAATGTACAACTCTTGATCACATGATAAATCTATGCTCCTAGGACCATTCTAGCACGCAAAGTTACAACCTTTTTGTGCTTGCATGGGACTTTAAGCTCAAAAGGTCCTAAAACAAGCCCTTGAGTTGCATGGAGCCTTTCTTGGGTGGAAGAGCACCCTCTTTCTACTTTGTGACCCCTCAAGGGTCCTATATCCGTACCCTCATCCCCAACCATGCTTGCACTCATGGTTGGCTAGCTAAAATGGCTCATAAAGCCCTAAAACTACACAAAATGGGATCTAGCATTTGGAAGAACAAGGTACAAACTTTTTACCTTGAATGAGCTGCAAATGATGCACAAATTCGGATCCCCTTTAGTCCCTTCTTGCTCCTTCAAGCTTCTCTTCCTTCCTTGGATCACAAGAACACCAAACTCACTTCAAAAGCTCTAGTTTGCTTCAACAACGGTTTAGGGTTTGCTATGGG